CGACATTTTAAAAGTAGAAGTGAGTTCCTTCAGGGTTGATTCCACCTTCAAATGAGCCTGCTACTGAACATCCAGAACCACAGGAAGAAACCTGACAAGATTTTTGCTTTCTTCAAAAATAATTTTGACTGATCTCATTTTCAATTTACAGTAACTGCTGTTACTGTATAATTTTTACTTATACCTTTTGTAGGTGAATAGAATTATAAATCTCAGATAGTATTTTGTGAATAAAGGTGATTTAAATATGAATCTTATGAGTAAATTATTTCCATTTTATTTTATTCTAGATAGTATAATGATTTTAAGTTGATTAGTCCACTATTATATAAATAATAGTGGGAGTTTTATATATTGAATCTTGTAGGTGGGGAAGCTCTAAATTCTAACATCTGTATCTTTATGCCAAGAACTGTATTTACTGTGGTTGTAGATAAATTTTATGCTTAATTAAATACATTTTAGTTGATTTAAAGACTTGTTTGGCATTGATAATAATAAAATCAGCTAGTTTTTCTATAAAGAAAACCTCATAGCATATGTAATGTGAACCTAATACAAACTATGAGTTCAGTTAATAAGAATGTAATCAGCATTGGCTCATCAATTGTAACAGATATGCCACACTAATGCCAGATGTTAATAATATGGGAAACTGTGTATGTGGGTGGGGCAGGAAAAGGGTATATGGGAACTCTATACTTTCTGTTCAATTTTTATGCAAACCTCAAACTGCTCTAAAAATTCATTGAAAAAATGAGAGGTAAGAAGGGCAAGTAAATGAAAAAATAAAAATACCAAAGAAAATATAAATTAATATGTAATTTCAGAATAAACTTGGTAGGAATATATGAAAAAACATCAAGAGAGAAAAGACTAATACACCACTAGAAAAATGAGCTATAGATATTATCAGACTTAAAAAAAAACAATAAATGTTCAATAAGACTATGAAAGAAATGTCAGTTAATACTGAAACTTAAAATTATGAAATTTCATTTTATCTATGAAACTGGCAAACATTTTTAGAAGAGATAATAGTAATCACGAGGGGCCAAACAGGCCCTTTCACATATGGTGAGGACTGTAAATTGGGATGACCTTTGGTCAGAAAAAAATTTGCCAAAACTTGGAAGGTGTACTATGATTTTAACTAATGGTCAGAATAATTTGTTTTCATCTGAGGGCATTGCCTAACTAGCCCATCTAATGTGAACTGAATCCTGACTTGTTATTACTGATTTGCACATTTTACAACTGTAAATTCAAATGTTAGCTTGTAGAAAATTGGTAAGATGTTAATATTTTTGTCCAATAGAGATATAATTTCTGTCCTGCACAGACAAAAATGATTTCTGCTCTGTAAAGAAGACAGCACCAACAGCTATGGTTTATCACCCTGTGGGACAGTCATCAGATTTAGATCTACTTTAGCAATAATTTATAAGAATTTTAGTATTCTTTTTCTATGTATGTATATATACTATATATATATCTTATATAGTATATATACATAATATACATATTATATGTGTATATCTATCATATATGTATGCCATAGCATGTATATATACATTATATATTCATATATTATAGTTATATATATAATACATGTACATCATCTATGTATCTCTAGATACATATACATAAATATCTATGCATATACATATATAGATATATGTACATATATATGTATATATACTTATACATACTATATATATACATATATAGATAAATGTACATAATATATGTGTACATATAGATAGATATACAGAAAACCTAGGCAGCACCATTCAGGACATAGGCATAGGCAAGGACTTCATGACTAAAACACCAAAAGCAATGGCAACAAAAGCCAAAATAGACAAATGGGATCTAATGAAACTTAAGAGCTTCTGTACAGCAAAAGAAACTATCACTAGAGTTGAACCAGCAACCAACAGAATGGGAAAAAATTTTTGCAATCTACATATCTGACAAAGGGCTAATATCTATAACCTACAAAGAACTGAAACAAACAAACAACCCCATCAAAAAGTGGGTGAAAAATATGAACAGACACTTCTCAGCAGAAGACATCTGTGCAGCCAACAAACATATGAAAAAAAACTCATCATGACTGGTCATTAGAAAAATGCAAATTAAAACCACATTGAGATACCATCTGATGTCAGTTAGAATAGCAATCAGTAAAAAATCGGGAGACAACAGATGCTGGAGAAGATGTGGAGAAACAGGAACACTTACACTGTTGGCGGGAGTGTAAATTAGTTCAACCATTGTGGAAGACAGTGTGGCAATTCCTCAAGGATCTGGAACTAGAAATACCATTGGCCCAGCAATCTCATTACTGGGTATATACCCAAAGGATTATAAATCATTCTATTATAAAGACACATGTATACATATGTTAATTGCAGCACTGTTTATAATAGCAAAGTCTTGGAACCAAGCCAAATGCCTGTCAATGGTAGAGAGAATAAAGAAAATGTGACACCATAAACACCTTGGAATACTATGCAACCATAGAAAAGGATGAGTTCATGTTCTTTGAAGGGACATGGATGAAGCTGGAAACCATCATTCTCAGCAAACTAACACAAGAACAGAGAACCAACACCACATGTTCTCACTCATAAGTGGGTGTTGAACAATGAGAACATGTGGACACACACGGTGGGGGGAACATCACACACTGGGGCATGTTGTGGGGTAGGGGGCTAGGGGAGGGATTGCAGGGGTGGGGGGATAGGGAGGGATAGCGTTAGGAGAAATACCTAATGTAGGTGATGGGGGAATCAATGCAGCACACCACCATGGCACGTGTATACCTATGTGACGAACCTGCATGTTCTGCACATGTACCCCAGAACATAAAGTATAATTTAAAAAAGAAAAATATTAATGGTAAGAAAGTGGTCAAAATATTATATACAAATATTATCTAAATATTAAGTAATATCTATGTAGGCCCAGATTCTAGTCAGGAAGACTTTCTCTGTCCTTTCCATTTCCTTTACTTACCTTGCCAGTTTTACATTTCTCTGATCTCATTTTTGCCAAAAAATAGTAGAAGGAAAAGAAAAGCGGAAAGAAAACAAGACAAACCCCATGGTTAGACGTGTCTCAGGTAGAAAAAATTTAAATAGCAAAACAGGCGGCATTATGGATCCCTAGCAAAGTAGCCAGGATTGAGAATGCCAAGCATGGAGAAGCAGTTCTGGATAAGGCGGGTCAGGCCTGGCCAACAAAACCTCCAGGTGGGGCCAGACACATTCTTCTGGGCTCCTCAAGGCCGCTGGCTTCACCTGTTTTTTTCTGAGAAGCATACACAGCTCACACACAGGCACACTGGGGAACAATTCCCAGCAGCAACTGTTCCCAGCTAATTTCTTACACACATGGATTTGCCTTGAAAGTTAGACAGTGAACATGGAGGACAGCTCTGCCACTGGACATGATGGGCCCTTACTTAGCTACAAATTGTGGAAAGCAGAGACTATGCAGGAGCCCTAAGGTAGGGGTAGGGGCTGTATCTTGGACACAAGAGACAGGTTTGGATGCTGCCTGGACCTGCTGCCTGTCAGTTGTGGTCTATGCTTATTTATGTTCCCTGGAAAACTGACAGAAAGCCGCCCAGGCACAAAAATACCAGCTTGTACAAGATTACCTGAAAGCTTGTGCTTCCAAAGTGACCATTACGGACGGCACCTTTGGAAGTGGCCTGCATGTAGAAATGTGCGCTGCAGCTTGCTGTTGGTGGGATCGGCTAACCAGTCTAGAAGGGAATGTTTTCCCCTGAGGCTGGAAATCCAGTTCCAGTCTACCATCTCCTCTCCTGTCCTTCCACCCTAGGTCCCTCCTACCCTGGGTTTCTATTATTCTTTCTAATAATAATATTTCTGGGCTGACCGCAGTGGCTCACACCTGTAATGGCAGCACTTTGGGAGGCCGAGGCTACGGATCACAAGATCAGGAGATCAAAACCACTCTGGCTAAGACAGTGAAACTCCGTCACTACTAAAATACAAAAAAAAAACAAAAAAACAAAAAAAAAAAAAACAAACTACAGGCATGGTGGTGCATGCCTGTAGTCCCAGCTACTAGGGAGGCTGAGGCAGGAGAATCTCTAGAACCCGGCAGGCAGAGTTCATGGTGAGCTGAGGTAGCACCACTGCACTCCATACACTCCAGCCTGGGTGACAGAGCGATACTCCATGTCAAAACAACAACAACAAAAGAATACCTCTCCTTCCATGTTGCCTACATTGCAATCTCATCCTGTACCTTACTTGGCCATCTTATTCCGATGGAGAACTGGGGGCCCACCTCCCACTGTATCCTGTCTGAAGAGCTTGTTTGTTGAGCCTGCAAAATGGCTTTAAAACTGTGATACTTCACATACAAATCCAGCTTCTTTTTACAAACTGCAAGATCTGGCAGTATTGGCTCCCGACGGGTGCATGACAATAATTAGCTAGATCTAGTAGCAGCTGTCCCTGTTAGATGGCATGTCCGCATTACATTTCTCCAAGGTCTTCACTACTCCCTATTGTATTCTGGCTTTGTGCACCCTTGGGGTACACTGTGCCTTTTCTAAATCTGTTGTTATTCTAATTACACTGCTATCATGATTACTTAGTTGCATGTCTGTCTCCCCTATTCAACTCCAGGGTGAGCTGTGTGTCTTGTTCATCTTTCTTGGTACAGTTCCTGGCTCACAGTAGGCAGAAGCAGAATAAGCATCTGAATGTATGAAGGAGGCCCTGGGTAATAAGGAACATGTCTGAGATTCTCTCAAGCCATCAGTCACCTCCACTGCTCTTATGATACTAGCTGATAAGGACACAACGAAGGGCCTATTGTACCTAAAGGTGTTTTAACCACTGCTGGATCAAAATAAACCAGCTGGCACTTCTGGGTGAAGGCAAAGGGCGAATGGGCGACAGAGTGAGACTCCATCTCAAAAAAAAAAAATGAAGAAATGAAGAGAAACTCACCTTGGAGTGGATACCAAGAGTAGCCATTTGTAACACCATTTGGAAAGTTCATTTTGCTTTTACACTCATCTCCTTTCTTCATGTTGGGATTTCTTGAAGCATAGGTATGTGCAAGATATTGAAAAACATCATCATCAGGAGTTAAGCTTCGGGAGTATAATGCCCCAGTTGCTGCATTTAAAAGATGAGCCAAGACCTTTAAAAGACTTTATTTAACACCACATTAGCAAATACATAATCACATGACACACAGATGTTCCAATTTCCCTAGAGAGAAATCCTCCATCCACTTCCATGAATGCTTCTTTTATTCTTCTTTCTACTTTATAATAAACATATGCAAGGTGATAGCCCCCAAGTAAGTCAGATACAAATCCAAACTCCTAAATCAACTTAAAAATTCAATGTTCTCTCAGTCACGCTCGCTAATTTCTGGAGGTAAAGACAGTTTCCTTAGGTATCAGAGGGATGAAATAAAGTTATTATAATATTTTGGGTCCTCAGAGTTTTAAGAAGAGTCAACGATTATTGTTCACATGATTAGCAAAAAAGCGTGAGTTGTTCCAGTTTTATGTTATTTTAGCCATGTTGTTTCTTGTCAGAGAATCAATCTGACTGCTTAGATCCTATTTTCTAGAATAGAAATTTCACTGTTTCACTGATGCATGTCCACTGTGGGTTGTCAGTTCAGCCACACTGCCCATCCGCTATTGAAGAAGCACAAGAAGGATGGCTACGGTTAGGAACAGGAAGCTCTTTTCACCCTGTCAGAGAAGTTGAGTGGGGAAGGGAGAGTTCATCCCCATGCAGAGACAGAGAGTTTTCAGTCCCACTCTGGACTTAGGAAGCCAGAACCGGGCCAGCACCTGCTTACCTGGAACACCATTATCAAATGGGTAACTGGCCACAAGGGCACCACCGTGGAGGTTTGCAGAGAGGACAAACGTCTCCGTGTTCAGCCACTTCATGACTGCCACAGTTTCAGGCTGCCTTGAGACATTATTATATTCAAAAGCATCGGGGAAATTTCTATTCAAGTCATACTGGTTGTAATTTTCCCTTTAAAAGAAAGAATATTTGAGGGCTTATTGATAGGGCATGAGGGAGTGGATTCTTACAGTGTCTGGCCCTGTGCTTTAGGCTCCAGGTCTTTCCAAATGTGAGTGTGGGTGTGGCGATGGCTGCCCTGGTGTTCTGCCATGACCCACACTTGGCACTCACACCCCATGGCATCCCCTTCCTCATGATATGCTCTCGCTAACGAGACACTAGCTCGTGTGCAGGCAGAGGTTTTACAAGTGTTTATATTTTGGGACTTCTACTCTTAGATTCTCCCTTTTAGGACTCTGAGACCCCTATGGTAGCCACGTGGAAACTCCATGTGGAGAAATGAGGAGCCCAGGTGACAGACAGAGCTGAAAGACTCCAAACACATGGCTCCAGGTAAATTGTCTCAGAAAGACCAGAGCTGACCCCCAGACCTGTGGCACAGAGAGTAGCCATCCTGCCCTGCACAAATTCCTGACTTACAGAATCAATAGTAAATAAAAAGGCTGTTGCTTTAAGTCACTCATTTTGGGGTGGTTCGTTATACAGCAACTGATAACAGAAACAGTAAACACATTACTTTACACACATGCATTTGTGAAAAGTGGAATGGCCGTGTTTAGATATTCTAGAAAAACTTAAAACTGGAGGGAATGATGTGATGAGATTTTGTTCAGCTTTGGTAAAGCAAACACATTTATAAATTGCATAAATATAAATGTATATTAAACATCTGAGGAATTCCAAACCTCCCAAAGTTTGGAATTTAAACAAAACAAACTGTTTAAATCAGAGCTCCTTCAAGATCTGGTCTTGGTTATGGTTAGTTCTTGGACTATTGGATTAATAAATCAGCCAGTCATTACCAGGGGCCTCGATACTCTGCCAGGCATTGGGGATCTAATAATGATGAATGTAATGGACAGGATTCCTACCTCAGGTAGCCTGCAGCGTAGTGGGGAGAGAGACATGAAGCAAGTAATTAGATATTAAAAGTTGTGCTCTGAAAGTAAAGTGCCAGGTGGTCTGAGAGTTTACCAGGGCATCTAGTGCATGACAGGTTGGGGAGAAAGTCTTGGAGGAAGTGCTATTTAGGCAGTGGGTGGAAATGGTGTGTGTAAAACACTGAGGTGAGAAAGCACTGGTAGTTCCGGGACAGGAAGAGGGACAGAGGGGAGGAGGCAGGGGAGGGCGAGGGAGTGGCAAGTGAAGATGGAGAGGCTGGGTGGGCACCTGTGCAAAGTAGCCTGAGTCGCATTTCATCCTAAAAGCCGGTGCAGCCCCAAGGAGCCTTGAGCTTTGGCACATCAGCGACAGGACACACTCCTCTTGCCAAGGCCAACAGGTGCCTGGCGGGAGCCTTTGTGTTGTGTTGTTTCATTTTGAAATAAAGATAGGCCAGCCCCTCTTTACCTTCCGATGCTGTAATAACAGTCAGGCTTTCTGACGGCTTCAAATCCGTCTGGGTTCATGGAAGGCATGATGTGTATCCGGGTACTATTGATCAGATTTGTGATTTCAGGGTCTTTGCCATCACTGGTTACGAAGTGGTCAATCAGATGGAGCAGCAGTTCCCGCCCAACAGTCTGTATGTGTAAAGAGATAAGAGAACATTATTAGGTCAGAGGCAATAAGGAAAGCAGTCCCTACCGTGCAAATTCCCCAACAGGGGTCTGCACACATGACATCTCAGACCCAAACTAGTTTGTAAGACCATTCTTTCTCAGGCATGCTTATGCTGTGACAAGTGCAATCAGGTGGCGATCAGTCATGGGGTGTGCTAAAACTGTTAGTAAGAGTTAAAGTACCTATTTGTAAATAGTTTACACATGGCAAAAATGAATTCATGTAGTAATCGAGCTGCTTTTTTTTTTTCTTGAGACAGTCTCACTCCATCACCCAGGCTGGAGTGCAGTGGCACAATCTTGGCTCACTGCAACCTCTGCCTCCTGGGTTCAAATGATTCTCCTGCCTCAGCTTCCTGAATAGCTGGGATTGCAGGCATGTGCCACCATGCCCAGGTAATTTTCGTATTTTTAGTAGAGATGGGGTTTCACTATGTTGGCCAGGCTGATCTCGAACTCCTGACCTCAAGTGATCCACTTGCCTCAGCCTCCCAAAGTGCTGGGATTACAGCATTGAGCCACTGCACTCAGCTGGAATGCTTCCTATTATAACATTTTTCATTTGCTTGATTTAAAGTATCCTCTGGAGTGGTGGAGAAAGAGGTGGAGTTACAGAGAAGCACAGGAATCCTGTATTTCCATGAGAATGTGTGGTGCCTATGAAGCTTCTCATGTATGTAATGGTGGATAACAGACTTAGAACCATCACATTGCAGATTAGACAGGGTCTCACTATGTTGCTCAGGCTGGCTGCTAACTCCTGAGCTCGAGTGATCCTCCCACCATAGCATCCCAAGTAGCTGGGACTACAGACATGTACTATTGTACCAGACTACAGATTTTAATAGGGAAAAATCCAAGTTTGCAACAAGCATGATTTAAATAGGTTTCAGATTTTTAATTTGCCTGTTTCCTGGTTCTCCTATTGCATGTCTGTGCAATTTTGGTCATATCTATGTATTTCTGGTCTACATTCTCATGTTTCTGAAACTTTGCTCATTTGCAGATCATCCTCATAATTCTTTCCCATATCTGCATATTATCCATATACTATGTTTTACTTTGCATTTTTTTTTTTAAAACAGTCTCACTCTGTCCCAGGCTGTAGTGCAGTGGTATGATCTTGGCTCCCTACAAACTCTGCCTCCCGGAATCAAGTGATTCTCCTGTCTCAGCCTCCTGAGTAGCTGGAACTATAGGCATGTGCCACCATGCCCAGCTAATTTTTGTATTTTTAATAGAGACAAGGTTTCATCATGTTGGCCAGGATGGTGTCGATCTCCTGATCTTGTGATCCATCCACCTCGGCCTCCCAAAATGCTGGGTTGCTGGTTCACTTTTTACTTACCTTAAAATGAAACTTTATATCATTTCTACTTTTTAGATATATATTTCTCATACACATTAAGTAAAAGCATGACTATTGAAATGTTAAAAACCATCATATCCACCTAAAATTGGCTTACATATCAATAAGGACTGGGAAACTGAAGGCCTGTGAGAGATCTTGCTTTATAATCCCTCCCCAGGAGAGAGATTCCTTATTTTTCTTATTGAAAAAATTTAATGTAAATTTCAGCCTTTCTGCTTAGACTGCATGGAGTTCTCCCTGTCAGTCTAGGTTCAAGGAATCTGCTTCAGAAGAGCAGATGCTGTTGAGGGTTAGTAAAGGAGAACTCGGGGCAGCAGGTGAGTAAATCAGGAGAGTGCTGCAGGGACATTCGTCTGCAGGAAAAGATTTCATGGAGCCTCAGAAGAATTTCCAGTCATGACTTCACTGTAGGACTTCAACTTTGTGACAAAGGACAAGTGATCCTTGGATGACAACTCCTTACTTGATTCCCTCACTGGCACATAAAGAGACCACATTTAAAAAACTTATTATCCTAATGAACATAGAGTAATTAAAATTGGGACTAAGAAAATTTGGGGCTGGAGGCAGTGGCTCATGCCTGTAATCCCAGCCAGCACTTTTGGAGGCAAAGGTGGGTGGTTCACTGGAGCCCAGAAGTTCAAAACTAGCCTGGGCAATGTTGTGAGATCCCATCTCTACAAAAAATAAAAAATTAGCCAGGCAGGTGGTGTGCATCTGTGGCCCCAGCTACTCAGGAGGCTGAGGTGGGAGGATCACTTGTGCTGCCCAGGAGGTTGAGGCAGCAGTGATCTCAGATCATACCGCTGCATTCCAGCATGGGTGATAGAGTGGGACTCCATCTCAAAAAAAGAAAAAAAAGGAAAAAAAAAGAGATTTTGGGATTATGAATTACAGTTTCACAGAGAACCATAAAATTTAGAGTCAAGTCATATCTAATTGTGACTTCAACTTTTTTCATACTCGTTTTTTATCTTCCTCTTCTACTACTTTGATTTTTTTAAACTTTGAGACAGAGTCTCACTCTGTCACCCAGGCTGGAGTGCAGTGGCACCGTGTCGGCTCACTGCAACCTCTGTCTCTCTGGTTCAAGAAATTCTCCTGCCTCACCCTCCCGAGTAGCTGAGATTACAAGTGCCCACCACCATGCCCGGCTCATTTTTATATTTTTAGTAGAGATGGGGTTCCACCATGCTGGCCCGGCTGGTCTCGAAATCCTGATCTTAGGTGATCTGCCAGCCTTAGCCTCCCAAAGTGCTGGGATGACAGGTGTGAGCCAGTGCACCCTATCAGATTTTTCACAGTCAAAATCGTCACTGGAAAAAGTCCTTACAAGCTAATAAGAAAAAAAAGTCATTTATGCCCCATGTTATCTCCAACTGTAAGATATAATAGGTTCTTAAACTCAAAAAACTTTGGAAGTAACCCAACAAGCTACTTATGACCTGCCCTAAAGGCAGCAGGGAGGAGCTGGTAATAGAAAACTGTGACTGTAACTTTCAATGTGAAAAGGGGACAGGCACGATGGCTCATGCCTGTAATCACAGCACTTTGGGAGGCTGAGGTGGCTGGATCACCTGAGGTAAGGAGTTCGAGACCAGCCTGGCCAACATGGTGAAACACTGTCTCTACTAAAAATATAAAAATTAGCTGGGCGTGGTGGCATGTACCTGTAGTCCCAGCTACTCGGGAGGCTGAGGTGGGAGAATTGCTTGAACCTAGGAGGCGGGGGTTGCAGTGAGCTGAGATTGTGCCACTGCACTCCAGCCTGGCACCTGGCGACAGATTGAGACTCTGTTTAAAAAAAAATACAAAAATTGGTTGGGCGTGCTGGTGCCCACCTGTAATCCTGGCTACTCAGGAAACTGAGGAACCAGAATTACTTGAACCTGGGAGGCAGACGTTGCAGTGAGATGAGATTGCGCTGCTGCATGCACTCCAGTGAGACTGCATCTTGGAAAAAGAAATGTGAAAAAGGTAATTGGTTTAAGGAGCTTTCATGGATGGGTTTGGGGAGAAATAGGTAGAGGAAGGTGAGGAAGAAGTGACCAGGAGTTCTGCAGGTTGTCAAATGTCTAAGTGCTGGTTAGGGGCCACAGTGTTGTTCAGCTGGTAAAAATCTCTGGCCTATCTGAGACCCAAGTCAAGAACAGAGAGGATGTGATATCAGAATCCTTGTGTGACTCTAAATGTGAATTTCTCTCTTAGCTATCTGAATCATACACTCTCCAGCATGCGGTCAAGATGTAAGTTAGCAATGAAATTCATCCAACCGAAGGAAAGTGAAAAGCAAGAGTAAAGAAGCCATGATTAGGAGGCTAGGTTGAGTTGGTATTCTGTTAGATACGGAATTAGATTAAGCAATCTTGGTAGTATGGGTACAGAACCAAATATGAAAGTTGAGGTCAGGCACAGTGGCTCACGTCTGTAATCCCAAAACTTTGGGAGGCTGAGGTGGGCAGATCACCTGAGGTCAGGAGTTTGAAACCAGCCTTGCCAACATGGTGAAACCCTGTGTCTACTAAAAATATAAAAATTAGCCAGGCATGGTTGCAGGTACCTGTAGTTTCAGCTACTCAGGAGGCTGAGGCAGGGGAATTGCTTGAACCTGGGAGGTGGAGGTTATAGTGAGCCTAGATTGTGCCATTACACTCCAGCCTGGGCAACAGAGCAGGACTCTGCCTCAAAAAAAAATGTTGAGGGAGAAATTTTCAAAGTGTTAATTACTTCACTTTTCATAGTAAGGGGTCATAAAATACTATCAAAAGTTAAAATATATACTTATAAAATGACTATAATTTCAAAGTTTTTCATAATCTTTTTTCTTAACTTTAGAAAAATCTGATAATCAATTTCTTATTTTGAGAAAGTACCAAGTTCACCAGTTATTTTAGTTTCACTTCGGTTTTATTCTTCTGTTAATTCAAATAAAATCAAATTCCATGTAACATATGACACATTTTATTTTATATTTTTTTAATTCCACTCATTTTCTTACTACAGTAATATATAAATGTCTAGAGTGATGTCTGGCAAATATTCATGACGGCTATTTCTGGGTAGAGTATTCTGAATGATTTTTTATTTCCTCTTATTCTTTTTAAATTAAAGAAAACCTATGTCATTTTTACAAAAATAATAAAATCATGATTCTTTCAGGGAAACAAGTATGTAACCAAAGTATTTTCTGTGTGTCTCAATTTTCCACAACAAATCACAAGTTCTTAACTGCAGGGGTAAATAAAAACCTTGAAAATATGATAAAGAACCGACTAAGGATCAGATAATTCTTTAAATGCCGAGGTAAACAGATGGAATTTCAGAGGCAGTCAAACAGAACCCTCATTTTTGCGCCATCTTTTGCTGCCTCTGTAACAGCAGATTTATGCCAAATATCATTCAAATTAATTCTTCCCAATCTTAGTATAAATGTCTCAAACACTCACTCATGTTTTATGTATAAACCTCATTTCGCTGAAAATTAAGTCTTTGACAGGAAACCTCGGAGAGTCCAAATTTTAGAAGAAGAATGTGGTCAAAAGAGTCTCCAAAAGCCCACGCGGCCTTTCACCCAGCATGCTGGCTTCCT